CCAGAGGAGGCCACAGAGATGCTCCAAGGCTGGAGAGCCTTTGCTGTGGAACCAGGCTGGGAGAGCTGGAGGTTCAGCTTTAAGGTCCCTCCAATGCAAACCATCCTGGGATTCCAGGATTCTGGAGCCCCTCTGCTCTGGAGCCAGGCTGGGAGAGCTGGGAATGTTCCCCTGGAGAAGAGAAGGCTCCAGGAACACCTTGGAGCCCCTGGCAGGGCCTAAAGGGGCTCCAGGAGAGCTGGAGAGGGACTGGGGACAAGGGATGGAGGGACAGGACACAGGGAATGGCTTCCCACTACCAGAGGGAGGGATAGATGGGATATTGGGAAGGAATTCTTGGCTAGGAGGGTGGTGAGGGGCTGGGATGGAATTCCTAGAGGATGCCTCATCCCTGGAAGTGTCCAAGGGCAGGCTGGAACAGCCTGGGATAGTGGGAGGTGTCCCTGCCCAGCGCAGGGGTGGGATGGGATGGGATTTGAGGTCCCTCCAGCCCGCAGCAGTGTGGCATTCCAGGATCCCACGGAACACAGGGATGCTCTTTGCCCTGGGCCTGGCGCTGCCCCAGCCCAGGAACCTGTGCTGGGCCCAGCCCTCGGGATGGATTCCGAGCTCCCCTGGGATCCATCCCGGGCCCTTCCCGGCGGCCGTGCTGAATTCCTGGGCGCTCCACAGGGTTCCTGCTGTTCCTGTGCCTGGGAATCCTGACCATGCTGCGGCCCAACATGTACTTCATGGCGCCGCTGCAGGAGAAGGTCGTGTTCGGGATGTTCTTCCTGGGGGCCGTGCTCTGCCTCAGCTTCTCCTGGCTCTTCCACACCGTCTACTGCCACTCCGAGAAGGTCTCCCGCACCTTCTCCAAGTGAGTGCGGCCCCCGGGAGCCTCTGGCTTCCCACGGCACCTCCTCTTCCCAATGTTTGAGCCTTGGGAGCCGGGGTGGTCACCCAATCCAGCTGGAGCTGAGGGGAAGCACAGCTGGGTCCTGGGAATCTGCCCTGGGCCTGAACACCTGGAATGTGCTGGATCAGGGGCCTCAGGGGGGTGGGAAAGGTGTGGGACCCTTCAGCTCCCACGGGAACATCCTCTGCTCCCAAGGGAATAGGAACATGGTTCCCAAGAGAACAGCCTGGGCTCCCAAGGGAACAGGAACATGGTTCCCAAGGGAACAGGATTCTGGCTCCCAAGGGAATAGAATCCTGTGCTCCCAAGGAAACAGGCTCTGTAATCCCAAGGAACAGCCTCTCACAGGCTCAGTGGGACCCTGCTCCTCCCAGCCTGTTCCTGGCATTCCCAGGGTGCTGCTGTGCTGGGAATGCTGCCCATCCCTCGGCACCACCCCCTGAGATCCCGTGGGATGCAGGGCAGACCCGTCGGAGTGTCCTAGTGTTCTCTGGGGACACGTCTCAGCGCCGGGATGGGTCCTCAGAGCAGGAGCAGAAATCCATGGGCATAAATCTGGGGCGTTGGAGTCTCCAGATCCCTTCCCATCCCTCCTGACATTCCCAGGCCCCCCATCCCAGTGGGACCCACCCCCCATTCCCCCTCTCCCAGTGCCGGTGGCTCCAGGGGAGTTCCCTGTGCCGTTCCAGGTTGGATTACTCGGGAATCGCGCTGCTGATCATGGGCAGCTTCGTGCCCTGGCTCTACTACTCCTTCTACTGCTCCCCCCAGCCGAGGCTCATCTACCTCTCCATCGTCTGTGTCCTGGGAATCTCTGCCATCATCGTGGCCCAGTGGGACCGATTCGCCACCCCCAAGCACCGGCAGACCCGGGCAGGTGGGAATGGGGGTGGGAATGGGGTGTGAGGAATGGGGAATGGGAATGGGGGAGTGGGGAATGGAAATGGGAAA